CCGCTTTAATTTCATCCCCCGCGGGCACCTAGGTGGCGCGTACGGACGTTTTAAAAAAATATGCAATTTTTTTGGCGAGAAAGCGATCTCGGGAGCCACACGAGCTAAGGGGCTGAAACTTTGTAGGAATATTACCTGTGCATGAACTAAAGATTTCAAATTCGGCCCCAGGTATGCGTTGTACTCATGTAAGGGCTTACGAAATTTCTAGAGAGAAAATTGATAACTCGGGTACGAGGAAAGCTGAAATTTTGGGGAATGTTCCCTATCCAAGTAGAACTCAGATATTTCAAATTCAGCCCCAACCTATGCGTGGTGCTCAAGTAAGGATGTATGAAAAACTTAGAGGGAAAATTGCTAATTCGGGTATGAGGAAAGCTAGAAAGCTGAAATTTTGGAGTAATGTTCCCTATCCAAGTACAGATCAGACATTTCAAACTCAGTCCTAATCTATGCGTAGTACTCGCGTAAAGACGTATAAAAGTTTCTTCGGGGGAATTACTGACTCGGTGACCAGAAAAGCTGGAGGGCTGAAATTTTAAGAGGATGCTCCCCGTTCACTTACAAATTGTTAATTTTAAATTCAGCTTTCCAGGCACGTGTAGTACCCAAGTACGAGCATGTGAAGGTTTTAGCGGAAAAATTGCTAACTCGGTAACCAGAAAAGCTGGAAAGCTGAAATTTTGGAGGAATGTTTTCTGTCCAAGTACAACTTAAGTATTTCAAATTCAGCCTTGAGGTATGTATGGTCTTTACGAACGGGCACTTTAAAGTCTTGGCGGAAAAATTTTCACCGAACAACGAGGCTACTTCTAAAGAACGACTGTTAAATGTTGCACATTTACTTTGCAAAATTTATGATGATTTATGCTAGTGACAGCAAAAGGTAGGTGTAAGACAACAGCCATTCATATAGTTAATGACCTGATTACTTCAAGTCCGGTGCAAAAACGTATATTCTCACGGGCCCGCTCGGTGCGTTCCAGCCTGGGTTATTCTTTTATATATACCACGATTGATATTTCTATTATATTTCAGCTCTCAATGACTGTCTTGAAAGGCAAAGCTCCCTCTGCGCTCAGTCTCTCCGAAAGTTGTAAAAAGCCCAGAGTGATAGCAAGTTCAACAACAAAGCCTAACTGGTGAGGAGAGTCGGCCTTGAAAGATGCACATTAAACGCGTCTTTGAAATGCATTCGTAGTTCTGACTGCAATCGATTGCTTCTTTTTCGTTAAATGCGGTGCAACGGCAATGCGCAGCGGACAGGTGCGTCGC